GATTGTCATCATGCAAGCGTTCAGGAGACGGCCACTTTAACATGCAATGCCAAGTACGGACAACTTGTCAAAAGAACGATTGTGATCTATGTGCTCAGCACTTGCGATGACATCAAGTGCGCTTAGCTCTCGTTGTGCAAAGGACAAACAAAATTATATATGTTTGATTTATTCTAGTGGGTTGGAGGCCATCGCTCTTAGGTTGGAGGCCTCTGCTACTAGAAACAAAGAAAAGGGAAAGTTTTTGTATGATTGTATATATATATATATTCGGCATTTCGTGGTGCAAAGTGCACCGGCTCCGTGCATGGCAAATTGTCCTGCAAGCGAGGCTATCTGAGACACCTTTGATATTCTCAGCTCGGATTGTTTGAGCAGAGCCAAGTTGTGCTTTATTTAGCAATTTCATGACGTCAGGAGGCGCATGATACAAGATGATACAAGGAAAAGAGAACCCATAAGCACGAGCAGTGGAAAAGGAACCACGGAAATTGGATTGTGAATGTATGTAAGAAGAGGTCACAAGTCTCGAAACCATGCCTTGGGCTTTGGGGCCACCTTGGGCTTCGGGGTTGTCCTAAGAAGCCAAATGATGTCAACACAAGTGGGCACTGTAAGGACTGTGCAAAGAGAGCTCCAGAATCGACAAGATTTCAAGACTAACTTTCCACGAGCAAAGATTGTAAGACTGTTTCTTTCTCGTTCCTTCGGAAGCGATTCACAAGCAAAATTTGTCGGCTTGGTAGCGGACTGGAGCATGACGGCGACACAGCCCGGCAAGCTCAACGGCCTAAGTCAACTATAGCCGTTCTTGACTTCCGAAACTAATGGAAAAACATGGAAAAAACAGCCCAAACCTCAACAAGTTGGAAAATCTCAAAGGCAAAAGCAGCAAAGGTGCGATATGGTCGTTGTCTTTCTCGTCAGTAGCATACCTACAATCCTATAGCACTTGGCAGAAGCGAGGCACAGCGAGGTAAAGGAAAATATTGCGGTATAGCCCGCTGGCATCTAAAGTCGACTCTACCTGCACTAGCTCCAGTCGTGACACTAGGATCCAGCGAAAGTCCAAGCCAGTAGCAAACTGTCCTTTTTCTCTGTTTCTTGTAGCAATGGCCTCCAACCTAAGAGCGATGGCCTCCAACCTACTAGCGATGGCTTCCAACCAGTTGGCATGCTGAAGAACTGCCGCATGTCTTATTTCATCTTAATCTTAATCCCTTTACCTCTCAGCTAGTCGTGTTGAAGTCCGCATGGTGCACGTGCCAGCCGATCACACAGCCCGCATCGGCGAGAAAAGTATGCGGCAATGGTTTGCATTTGTTAAGAACCACTAACTGTGAACTGGGTGTATACGGCCCAAGAGTTGATTGTATGCGGACCAATATCTCCATCCTGTTGATGTGCCATGTGCCCATGGGATCTTGCACAAAGACTTCGCAAGAATCACACCCTGTGACCGGTGTTGGTTTTCGCCGAGTATGCTTCCAAAGAAGTCGGCTTTGTGCCTTCCAATGACAGGCCTGAGATATTTTGGGAGCTGAGCTGAGCTGCCTGCAAACCTCAAAGTCTAGGCTTCATTACTTGGTGGCCGTGCAAATTTCGGCAATCGCTCGGTCATCGTCACATGGAAGGCATTGAGTGTGCTGACAATATGCTTGGAGTGATGCCAGGCTGAAGCAACCAATGAATTAAAAGACCTGCAAATGGGCATCAGGACAGTCCTGCCTGCCTAGTATCCTTGAGGTATGGCCGAGTAAAGTTCCCGGCACCTCGCTACAGTAGAAAAGGGTGAGGAGAGGAGCGCACGCATCACATTGTCTCTTAGCGATCGCGAGCACTTGGCGATGTTGAGCCCGGCACAGGTGATCTTTCATGCCAAGCTATCTGATGAATTTTGAGGCATATGAGTGGTGATCAACTCAACTTTGAACTAGCTAGTTGAATGGGTTGGCACGGCCATTATAGCAATAAAATCCCCTTGCGCTAACTGCGAAGTCCAAAGGTACAACGAGTGCTCATTTTGCCGTCGCAGTGTGATGCGGTTGAAATGCCTCTCAGGAAAATGCAAATGTGAATGCAACCTCCGCGAAAGCGCACACAACCTGACATAACACTGCGGTTCACACCCGCAGCCCAATGCAACTCAGCTGGAAGAAGAAACCACCGGAGATCGGAGATGGTGAAACTTCAAATGACCCATTGCCGCTGCTTTTAGAAAACAAAGTGCATACGATCAACACCACCTCCAATGTAAGTGCACGATGCTGCAAGACACCTATGACGACAGCGCTTCATTGTGAGATGAGATGGTATATTAGTACCGTGATCCTCGTCAGAATTAACATGGTGACCTTTGGCCACCCAGTTGGGAAGAGGACATAATACAAGGAAAGCATCTGGCCTTTCGGAATAGTGGGGCTGCACCCCCTTCCTTCCAGGCCATCACTAGTAGGTTGGAGGCCATTGCTAGTAGGTTGGAGGCCATCGCTAGAACACGTTGGAGGCCATCGCTAGTATAGGTTGGAGGCCATCGCTAGTAGGTTGGAGGCCATCATAGTAGGTTGGAGGCCATGGCTAGTAGGTTGGAGGCCATGGCTAGTAGGTTGGAGGCCATCGCTAGTAGGTTGGAGGTCATCGCTAGTAGGTTAGAGGCCATCACTAGAATAGGTTGGAAGCCACTGCTAGAATAGGTCATCGCTAGAAGGTTGGAGGCCAGCGCTATTAGGTTGGAGGCCATCATAGTAGGTTGGAGGTCACCGCTCGCAGGTTGGAGGCCATCGCCAGTAGGTTAGAGGCCATCGCTAGTAGGTTCGAGGCCATCGCTGTTA